GGTTACGAAACCCATCTTGATTAAGAGATTGTCAGGACGAGCCGATGGCAGGGGCAATGTTGTTGGGATTCGGAAATGTAAGAGTCCTTTGATCTGTGATTATCGAGGAGCGATTGCGAACACCTCCGCCCGAAGTGTATGACTCATGCGATTTAATCCCGTAAGAATATCAACGAGCCGCGTGCGACCTGAGCACGAAACAACGGCCGCGTCTTGACACACGTGAGTTTTTTTTTCTCTTTCTCTGAGCCCTCTGTTTCTCCTGTATGACCTTTCCGATTGGATTGCTAGGATTGCATGCATGCGATGAATGGTTAAAATATTCCTGATTGTTTGCAATGTGAACTAACAGGCTCACCCGACTAGGCGCCAGCCTCCCGTAGCCCCTCTTCGCCCCTTCCCGTATAACGAGGACAGGACGCGAATATGTGAGTGGGACATACGAGAAGCCGTGGCAAAGATCAGTGGGCAATACTACTTCCCTCCCGAAAATCGGTGTTCTGGGTTTGTCGGCGCTGGGTTTGTCACCGTCGATACACATTTTCCGCCGTACTCGCTGCTATTACCATTTAACGAGTTGATCGTCATTCCGTGGTCGGCAGTAGCGCCCCATTGGCCTAACACCTTGTGTAGTGATTGCCAACGACTCGACCACTACCAATCGAAGGGGTTCCACTACCGAACATGGAATGAGGATGAGCACAAGGAAAGGGTCACACGATTAAGACTGTCCACGTCGGATTCAGAATTGTGTAGTGTGCGACGTCGGAAGCTAGTGCGAAAGTTGGATACTAAACACGTGCCCTCTCCCTTCCACTCCAAACGCCGAGCCGTGGCACGGTGGGAGGTCCGACAATATTTTCTGGATTGAATTTAAACTCCCTCGCGTCACGTATCCTGCGCGCGCGTCGCCTCAAAACCCGCGTCGCCGCCAACCAGATCTCTCACTTCATCAGACCAACACGGGGGATTTCAGTTCCGTCTGTGTCCCCACACTCAATTTTCCAAAAATCCTTGGCACACCCCATCTTGCTGTTCTTCGGGGCCTCCTTTCTGCACCTTTAGCACTCCGAACGGAAGACAGCGCAGGGCGTGAGGTTGGTATCGGAGCCGACACGTGTCGGTTCTGACGTTAGTGAGACGAGCTGGCGAGAGGGAGATCAGCTAAACAACCCAATCGCCTCAGTCCCCCCGTCACTCGGCAAAGATCTGTCGAGACCCGAACAGAGATGCCCATGGCTGATGCTAATGGAGCGCCTACCCGGGTGATGGTAAGCATCCCCGCTACCTTTCCCTTCTATCCTAACTATACTCATCCAGAGGCATGGCTTGAAGTCGTGCAAGCGCAGGGATATAGCGCTGCGGATCTTCCCCGCGTCATCACCCTATTACTTCGAAACACTGCGCACGATTGGTTTAGAAGGCACAGGTGGGTAGAAGGGGATACTTTCAAGAGAGCGTTCCTAGCGCAATTTGACGCGGTCAATGAAGACGCTGCCTGGTTTGTACTGAAAACCCGTCCGCAGGAACCAGGGGAATTGCTACCCGACTTCGTGGATCGTTTTCAGACCGCCTTGGACAAATCGGGACGGAAAGAAAACGCGGCTCGAGATTTGTTTATCGATCATCTCCGTAATCCCGTGTTGAAGGCGAAATTGCAGAAAAAGGTCCCTCCCAGGACAACCCACTGTCAGTTATCATAGCCAAGGCCCTTGAGCTGGATCTGCTGGACACGCGTAAGTATATTAGTCAGGGAGAAGAAGATATTTCAGACACGATCCAAAATGTGGCGGCCAAGAGATGATCCTTTTTTTTTTTTTTTTTTTTTTTTTTAAACGGGCCCAGTGCCCAAGGCTGATATTACCAATGAAAACTGCTTGAGACCGGGGTCCTCACAGTCTACCCGGAGTGGACGAAACGAACTTGCTGAGAACCGGGCTCAGCGACCCTCTTATGTTAATGAAAATGATCATGATGGTAATGCTAATGATATTGATGCTAATGATGATGCTCATTCGTACTCATATGAATTGTAATAGGCTACTTATAACAGCTATTCTGGCTTCCTAAACCTAAAGTAACTCTTGCCTTCCTTGTACCAGGACATACTTACTTAGAGACAATACCAACCGAACCAAAGTCACCCATAGCTGATCTCTTCTCGCCACTAAGCAGCCCCCCCCGGATCACCACTGGCTTGCCTTCCTCCCTCGGCAAACCCCAGATCTCTCTACAAGACCTCATACTCCTGCGATTTGCAGGTTACAGGGCAACGCCCCAGCTCCGGCCAGCGTCGTTCTGGCATCGGCAAACCGGGGGCACAAAACAGAACAACTCTGCGGATATCAGTCTGGGTTCGACCTTCTCTGAACTCCTATACCCCGGATATGAGCGAAGACTAAATGCTACCAAAGATCCAGAAAACCAGAAAGCTTAGGCTAAGACCAATTAAAGAAAGGAAAACTTCAGATCCATTCAAAAAATATGTGTCAACAAGCCTCCCAAGCACGAAACAGATAGGTGAAGCCCATTCAATCCACCTTCAACCACTGCCAGCATGGCCGTTTTCAGCACGAACCAAAACCAAAGCTCTTCCAGGCCCCTTGCTCCCATCAGGCTAGGTTACAGAGTTGCACCACCTTGCTCCAGCTCCTGGCAGCGTTGCTTCAGTCATGACCCCCGATGACCACTGAGACTGCCCCCACAAACAGCCCCCCAGATCTCTACCAGGCCTCATGCCCCCACTAGGCTAGGTCACAGAGTTGCGCCACCTGGCTCCGGCTCCGGCCAACGTTGCTCCAGCATCGGTCTTCAAGGGCCACCGAATTTTCCGCCACCCCACGCAGAATCGATGGTGAAATGCCGGATAACACCTATTCCTACGATTCTCCTTGAGAGGCAAGCCGAATTACAAAAACTAAACTAGATGTGCTAATATTCAGAGATCGCCCCTTCCTCCCCCTCCCCCTCCCTCCCCCTCCCCCTCCCCCCTCAGCCCTGTACTGCCTCCGCGGAGGTGAGTCTCCCACTCTCCCTCAGCCCCAATATAGGACCAATCCTCTACCCTACTATTCCCTAAGGAGCACGCAGTTCCCACCTAAAGCGTGCCCCCCCAACCCTTACCCATTTCTGCCTCCGCTGGGACCTGGCTCAGAGCAGTAGGACAATTTTACCCTCGTCCCGATCATGACTAGCAAGACGGCCCCGCCCCAGATCCTTCCCCGTATCACTCCCTACCCCTCTCGAAACCGCCGCTCCCTCCGAAAGTGGTGCCTGTGAACACGGTTATGGCCCGAGAAGCCGCATCAGTTTCCATCACCAACCTGCATCTAGCCCAGATGATCCATACCGCTACGACTAAACAGTCCGAGTGGATGAATAACCTACTCCAGATGCAGACTTCCCAGATGGATCGACTGACAAATATTATGACAAAACTAGTAAAGGTTAATCCCAGCCCATCCCGCCCCGTTCCCCCTCAGTACCCTTTGCTTACTGCTCCTCCCGCGGGAGGACCAGCCCCTCCTGCCGCTCCCTTTCATATGGCTAACTCGGCGAGGAGGATCGAATGCTATAATTGTAAACAGCCGGGGCACTTCGCACGAGAATGCCCCCAGCCGAAACGCAATCAGCCGCCTCCTGCGGCCGCGCCAGTAGCCTTGAACCAAGGTCGGGTGGCCGCAGTATTAGAACATGCAAGGGAAGTTTCCCCCTTCATCGCCGATCAACCCTCCTCGGTCGATCCAGGCGCATCCACGTCAAGATCCTCTTCCGAGGCTGCAGATATCGTCGATCCAACCGAGTACCTCCAGCTGGCTGGACTGATCGGAGCGATCCGACCCGCCAAAGAAGAACTCGATTGGGTCGAACGTACATCGGAACCAGGACCCCAGTTCCAAACAGGAGAAATCGATGTCCTACAGACACTCAAACAGTTGGATATCCGAGTGCCGATCCCCGTAGGACATTTGTTGACCATATCCGAAGTTGCAAATGACAGGCTTCTGCAGCAATGCCAGAAGAATCAGAAGCACTTTACCTATCAGCGTGTTTAGCATATGTTGAAGAAAAAAAAGGAAGATGAGAGCGAGGCAAATCCTCCTCTGACGGTCGAATCTAACGCACCGGAAGCGGCAAGAATCGCCGCCATCTCTTACGCCGAGCGATATCACTTTGTGCGTGTTCGATCGGTCCTATGAAAAAGTGCGGAATGTGATTGCGAAGTCTGGGGTAAACCGTTCGATGCGCTCATTGACACTGGATCATTACCCGTAGCTATTTCCCTGAACACAGTCCGAAAGACTGGACCGCTGAATTCCATCCTTCCTCTACCAGGGAAGGACAACTATGTCTCGACCGATTAAGAGGTCATAAACATTGTAGGAATCATCGAGAACGTTGCGATCAAGGTGGGCCGAGTGCATGTGTTGGTTAACGCGTTAGTCATTGGCGTGCATTCTTATTCGATATTGTCTGGATTGCCCTGGGCGATAGCAGTGGGCGCACGGATCCATTTTGATTCCAAACAACTCGTTCTCACTCATACAGGAGGGAAACCTCAAACACTTCCTCTCCGAATCTGTACTCGATCACCAAGGAGATATCTCAGTATTGACCGGATAGGAATGATTCAGAACCTGGAGAAGTCTCTCCCGAATCCTTATGAAGAACAGCCCCCTGCGTGGGAAGACGAGTTCAATGAACGCGACTATGAGGAAGAACTGAGCACTATGCCCAGCAAGAAAAAATGGAAGCGATTAGTCGAAATGTTTGATTGCGAGGCTAACGAAGAATTTTGGATGATCCCCGCAACTACTCGAACATTCGATTTAGGCTCGGAAAACAGCGAGCCCAACCGTTCTCTGGCCACAAAAAGACGGACTCCCCCTACGACTTTCTTGGGAGAGCCGATCTTGCAGATTTTCGATATGACCGACCTTTTGGAACCCCCTCACACGTTATACGAGAGCACGCTTTCACTCCGGGCTAGGTATCTGCAGATGAATCACTACCTGGATCTCTTTGTCTCCCCCCCTAGATCACTACTCACGCAAGGAGCCATGATCGCTTTGATCAAGGAAGAAGCAGAGGCTCCGATAGCAGATGTCCCGGATCTTGTGCACGAAATGACAAAACTAACAGGAGTAGAAATAGCCAAAAGTGTCGTCGATTCTGAAACCGACGCCGAGGTTAAAGGGACTGAGATTATCAGCCCGGTTGAATCCCAAATGATTGCTACTGTCTTCTCGGTCCGAACCAGTAGTTCCATGTTTTTCAGTGTGCACGACAGACGATCGCAAAAGATGGATTGGATTGAAACACCCCTGAACATCGCGAATAATGCAGTAATCACCATCCCCAGTCATGTCCCCCGAGATATCCAAGGATCCCTGATTGATGTGTTGCATGGCTATGCCGAGGTATTGAGTGTGGATGACAGTGATATCGGGTTATCTACTGTAATCGAGCATGCGATCCTTACGGGGGATCATCCGCCAATTAGCTGCGCTCCTTATCGGTATTCACCGGCGCAAAGAGCGGCCGCATTTAAGAGGATTAAGGAGTTCGAAGCTAACGGTTGGATCGAGCCCGCTATAGGACCATGGTCGTTTCCGGTAGTGATTGTGCCAAAAAAGGCATGAGAAATTCGCATATGCATCGACTACCGAAAATTAAACGATATCACGATCAAGGTGTGTATCCTCTTCCCCGGATTGATGAGTTATTGGATGCTATCGGTGGTGCTCGATTCTTCAGTAAATTTGATATTCGCCATGGATTCCACCATCTCCTGGTTCGAAAAGAAGACCGCCCGAAAACGGCGTTCATTCTTTTCGAAGGAACCTGGCAATGGGTCCGATGTCCGATGGGGATTTGCAATGCCCCAGCCATGTTTCAACGCGCGATGAATATGGCCTTTCAAAACTTCGTGCGAAAAACGCGACTGGCGCAACGCATAATCAATTACTGTGTGATTGTGTATATGGATGATATCCTTATGTTTTCCACTTCCTATGAGGGACACGTGCAACACATTGAATGGACGCTGCACGCACTGAAGGACGCAGGATTCAAAGTGGCGGTTGAGAACTTGAAGTGTTAGTTTTTTTCTCACGGAGATCTCCTTCCTCGGCCATGTCGTTACGAACCAAGGAGTGCAGCCAAAACCTCAAAAAATGACAGCCGTGAGGGACACACCAGTGCCGACGTCCGTAACACAAGTCCGCGCCTTTTTGGGTTTGGCATCGTACTATCGAAGGTTCATCAAGGGGTTTGCAGCGATCGCGGGACCACTCACGAATCTGCTAAAGAAGGATCAGTCGTTGATCTGGACCCCGCAATGCGATCGGGCTTTTGGAGAACTCAAGGCGGCCCTGGTTTCGCCCCCAGTCCTCATAAGGCCGGACCCGGAAAAGCCCTTTGTTCTCATCACCGATTGACAATCGGAGGCGGTTTCAGCGATCTTGGCCCAAGTGGGACCCGATGGCCTCGAACACGTGGTGGAATACGCGTCCAAAACGGTGCCGTCCTGTAAGCGCAACTACACGGCCCCGACGGAGAATGCTATGTAGCCTTGTGGGGGATCAGTCATTTCCGAGCGTACTTGTATGGCCGAAGATTTACGCTGGTAACCGATCATGAACCACTGTTGGTGCTGAAGAAGTCCAAGGATTACTCGGGCATGATCGGGCGATGGGTCACCATACTGCAGAGCATGGACTTTGACATCCATCATCGGAAACACGAGAAACACGGCAACGGAGACGGACTGACATGACTTCACCGTCCCAACAAGGTGCCAAGGAGTGAGGAAGTGACCCCCTGGCGCGACCCGGAACCGAAGGACGAGCCTCGATACGGACAAGTGGAGATCCTACCGAAGGGCTAAGTCTCCTCCTCGTGCTCTTCTTCTTCATCTTTTTCCCTCCTCATCCTCTTCTCCTTCTTCTTCTTCTCCTCCTCCTCCTCTTCCTCCTCTTCTTCTTCTTTATCTTCTTCCTCTTCTTCTTCTTCTCTTCCCCCTCCTCGTCCTCATCATCTTTTCCCCCCGTCCTCTTCTTGTTCTCCTCCTCGTCCTATTCTTCTTCATCTTTTTCCCTCCTCCTCCTCCTCCTCCTCCTCTTTTTTTTTTCCTCCTCCTCCTCCTCCTCTTCCTCCTCCTCCTCTTCTTCTTCTTCTTCTTCTTCTTCTTCTTCTTGGTCTTCTTGGACTTCGTCTTCTCCTCCTCCTCCTCCTCCTCCTACCTCCCTGTTGAGCCCGAGCCATAGCGGTAGCGTTTTTATTTTTTTCCCCATCTCGGATTCTTCTTCTTCTTCTTCTTCTTCTTCTTCTTCTTCTTCTTCTTCTTCTTCTTCTTCTGCTTTCTTCTTCTACTCCTCCTTCGTCTCCTCCTCCTCTTCTTCTCCTCCTCCTCCTCCTCCTCCTCCTCCCCCTCCTCCTCCTCCCCCTCCTCCTCCTCTGCTTCCCTCCCCGTTGGGCCATAACCATAGCCCTAGCGTTTTTTTTTTTCTTTTTCCGTTTTCGTATCAGATTCTCGTTCTCCTCCTCCTCCTCCTCCTCCTCCTCCTCCTCCTCCCCTTCTTCTTCTTCTTCTTCTTCTTCTACTACTACTCCTCTGCTTCCCTCCCCGTTGAGCCAGACCCATAGCCATAGCTTTGTTTTTCTTTTCCCGTTTTGGTAGCAGATTCTCCCTGTTGAGCCATAGGCATAGCCATAGCGTTTTTTTTTTCTTTTTCCGTTTCCATATCAGATTCTCCTCCTCCTCCTCCTCCTCTTCTTCTTCTTCTTCTTCTTCTGCTCCTCCTCCTCTGCTTCCCTCCCCGTTGAGCCAGACCC